AAAGAGTAGAACACAGATATTATTCAGTCATAGAACTATTAGACACAGTAACCATCTCAGTATGCCAACTTCAAAATGAAGTTAGTGGGGAAAAATGTTGTGTTGTGAGAGTCAAGTACGGTGTCATGGTTTACAGGAAAATTCAAATGACAGTGAAGATGTTGATGAAGAAAGTCTTCATGCTTTATGGAAACTGAATTGTAGCATGTGAATGTTCAAGTCAGGGTAATTTGAATTGTAACAAACAGAAACAGGATTATGTGTCATTATTTCACTGCAAGAAGAGATCAAATACACCATGAGTATAGAAGTGTGTATGTGGAAGTAAAGGAGCTGTACATTAACCAATGGTTGGACAGAGTATTAGAATTAATGCTTTTCATTTCTTGAAATTTCATTTCAGATCTAATCTTGATGGGAAATGATTATTCAGTTTGTAACCTGACAACTTTGCTCTAATAGTGTCTTCAGGATTTTCAGTGTTGAAGTGTGCTATAGAGGGATTGTCTTTCTATCTTTTCTGTTAATAACTGACTCTTTAAACATCCAAATCAGACATTTATATTCATAAATGGAGATCACAGTTTCTCATTAATAATTATATTTAATTTCTACAAAATTGGGAGCGGTGGCAGAAAATGTGTCTCCAATTATTTTTACACTTCACCAACTGGCACTAGGATTTTACCCAGTTGGCTGCAAAGCAGGAGTTAATACAGTATCTGAAATGATTTGATGCATTCAGAATCTTAGTTAATAATGCCACTAAACAGGTGTCTTATCTGATTTTAATTGGCAGAAGGTGCTGAGATATGTTGCATTGGCAAGTCAGAATTAGTTCTCAATTGTCTAAGAAGGATCTCCTGATATGGGTGTTGCTGACAGGACCTTTTTGAGGAGCTGCCTGCCTGAGCACCACATTAAGTGTTGAGGTTATTACCAGAATTAGATTATTATAATGACTAACAAAGAATTAATAACACAAGAAGCTGGCAAAAGTCACCAACTTTACCTGGCAGTGAATGCCTTTTTTCATGAAGTGTTTAACATAACTGAAGTAAAACTAGAATTATGAATGTCTCCAGAGAGGCATTTACGTGTGAGATAGATCTATAGATAGATACATGAAATGCCTGATCCTGAGCTTTGCTACACTCCCAAGATGTGCTTATTCTGTTCTCTGATCTCTGGCTGATACAGAAGTATCTCCAATTGCAGATATGTTACACTATTTTTATCAGAAACTTCTCTCTCTAATTTTATCCTGAAGAATAGGCATTGAGATGGGAAATAAATTTCTTCATGTAAGTGCTCACAACATCAGCCAAGAGAATGCTACAGTTCCATGTACTGAGTATGTAAAGAAACCCCACAAAATACAGTTTGCATTTGGATACAGGGAGAGCAATAAATCAAAGGTATGAATAAACCAGCAGCTGATGAAAAGGACCGGTTATTTTAAGCTATTTTCTATAGATGCACCTCAGGCAGAACTTGACACCAAGACAAAATCAATGAAACTGAATCGTTTGCCAAACAAACGCTCGGCAGATCAATCAGGAATGCTTAAAAGCTAAACAATGACCCCGTGGGAAGGAGGAATTGATTGCCTCAGCAGGTTGCTGTTTTCTTCAGAATGGGCCAAGGTGAGAATGTAGAAAAGAACTCGAGCCTTTAATATGTGGACATTCCACTGCTGAAGAGGGCAGTGCCTGGCAAGCCTCTCTGCCTGGACCCTGCTGAGGCTTCTGTGGCGCAGAAGGAACAGAATGAAAAGCAGAATGTTTGTTAAAGCCAAACAGGTGTAGCTGGGACAGGTGTAGGCTTAGATAAATTGTGAACTTACCTCAGGGACTTGGGGAGCAGGGCTGGGAGAGTTACTGCAGCACAGCTACTCCCTGGTTTAGATTTAGGTATTTTGAATTTGTATTTTAATGTGAGTAAAACAATCAACTAGAGGCTAACTCAGCACCCCCAGACTAACCTAGGGACTGTTTTTACTGAGTGTGACAAACGAGGATCTGCAAACCTTGTAGGTAGTGGCTTATTCATCCTTCCTCATCCCAAACAGTGGGTGGCAAAAAGATTTGTCTCAATTCCATCTTCATGTGCATTTGCCAGAAATACAGACAGAATCACATTAAGGTCTTCATGCTTCTGCCCAAGAGTCTGTGGGATATTTGACCCCTTGAACTGTCAATGCATTTAGAAAGTGTCTTGGTTAGTGCCAGAGACTGTGAAGGTATTGTTCTACTTCTAGGCCAGAACAAAATTATTAAATCTAATAACAGAAGACACAATAGAGGGGAGATGACTCTTTCCCTCCTACTTGCTTACCTTGTGTTTTGGGTTGGTCATTTTGGCAAGAAAGCCAGAGCTGAAGCAGGAAAGTGAGATGGGTGGTTCTCCCATCAGGTTTGGAAAAAGGGAGGATGAAAAGGGGGCAGAAAGGCCCTTAAATTTATGGCTCTTTTAATACTTGAAAGTTTTTCCCCATAGAACATCTGTTTCCATGGAAGTTGATCAATTCAATTTCAGCTCCAGTTTTCTTTTCATGCTGGATGCATGAAGCTGTAATGCCTCAGCTATACATTGATTTCTGTAAACCTACATTAGATAATGATGTGTCTTAGATTGTCATTATAAAAATTAGCTAAGAGATTTAAGATAAATTAATCTCTAATTTAGTTATTAGATATATCATGTTGTGGAGTAGCATCATTTAAATTAGCAGAATTACTTGCAATTTGTCCTTTGCTCACAGACATTGGTGTTCATGTAATTACCCGAAATGACCTGATTACCTCAGCCCTGCCAGACTGAAATTAATTCATCTCCCTTCATTTTAGGGGAACTCCTTCTGCCCCTTTTGCCCTTTTCCCTCTGAGTAGCTTTGCTCCATTGGGCTGGCACTGATGTCGTTTTGGGGACATGCCAGCAGGAGGAGCTTGTGCATTAGAATGTGCTTTCCATAAAGCAATCACCAAATTACAGTAATTGCACTCCACTCGTGCTCTCTGCTGCCAGGTAAACCCCTTGTACCTGCCAGGGATCCCCTGTGCCTCACACAGCCAAAGCTCTGCCAGCAGTGCCCACTGTGCTGGGAATTAACCTACTTTAGATGAGCAAAGCCCAATGAGGTGAACATTTCATTTTATTCCATTATATGTTTGATGTTTCGATTATTTTACATTTATATGTTCTGAAAAATACATGTGTTAAAACAAAATCACAACCCTCTGAAGTCAATGTCACATGCTCTCTTTTACAAGAATTACAGTATCAACACTGCATTGCTCAATTTTATAAATAGTATAAAAATTATGAGTAATAATATTCATGTTACTAAAAGAAATCCATGGTAATGAGCACAGCTGAAATTGGATTCACATGATCAGAATTCTCTACAGCAACTTAGATAGCATTGCTGAGTTTCAGAGTAAGAAACTGTAGGGTCACAGTTGGAAGTCCAATTATCCTTGGCTACCAAGAATTAATAACATAGGCTAAATTAATTTTTAGCCTTTTTATTTTAGTGACAAGGAAAATAAGGAATTAAAGATCTAACATATTAATCAGGTTATTGAAGAGGAGGAGGAGGTATGTCACAGGTATTTTATGAATTTTTTCACACAAAGAACTTCTAAGTTACCTTGGAAGACTAAATACTATAATAGGAATGTGGTGAATCTTGCTTTAGGAAAATCCTTTATTATTTTAACTAAAGCTATTTCAGAGTTTTCTGCTTAGAAATTTGACCAGTTAAATACTCTGCCATTAATAAACCCCTCAAAACTTTATTTTGTGTTGCTTAGCATCTGAACTGAACATAACTTTTCCATACTGTGTTTTTCTCTTCCCTTTGTGGGGGCAGCTGTGTGTGCACTGTAGTTCTGAAGCCAAAGGCAGGGCAGGACAGCTGCCCTTCTTGCAGGAGTGCTCTGTGAGGGAATTTTCCAGCCAATCCCAGGACTCGGTAAAGGCTTTTGCTTTGCTGACATCTCTCCCATGTGGATGCTCCGAATGCCTCAGTGGGGCCTGAGTGTGCCTGTGGCTCTGGCAGGAGGGACTGGCCTGTCTGTGAGAAAGGTCACTCTGCAGGAAAAGAAACTGCACAGAGAACTTTGGGGATTGTTTTAAAATATGTCTGTGTTTGTTTAATATGGCTGGAAGTGCAGATGAGCAATTTCTCCTTTCTGGACTTGTTATCACAGTCTGAAGATAGATATTATAAAGTTGGGGTTTTTCACTTAGGAAAATAAGCTTGGCTTTGTTTGCTGTGTAATTTTATTGCTTGGCTGAGTTGCTAAATCCAAAACTTAGTTTTATTTATTGATCTGTGTGTAAGTAGTTTAATTAAAAACCATGTGGATTCGTGTAAAAGAATGGCAAAAGTACAATGCTATCCCTTTATACTGTAGTTTTCCGAGGAGTCTATAGCCTGAATGTCACCTAGGTAAGCTGGAATTTTCTGTTACTGCTTGTTTTTGAACTTAATGTACTTCTCAGAGTCTTTTGCAAAAGGCTCATTCATGTAAGACTGTAGTCTGTTGTGGGTCAGGAGAGACTGAAGAATTCAGGGATGTATTACCAATGTACTTCATCATGTAATGATACATCCATCCATGATTAGAGGATCGTTAATTGAGCATCATCCAAGCTCGTCTATTTTGCTTGTACTTTTATCACTTCAAAATGCTTTTCCCACCATTTCTGATCTGCAACTCATAGAGATCCGCTTTTATCCTGTAACTTGCAATCTTCCATAAAATATTGAAAGTTCTACTAGTTCTCATTTCTGAAAGAGCCCATTCTGTAATTCACACTTGAGACACCAGTAGAAAGAATGCAATTCCGTGGTGTTGAAGATGTGTGCTGTACTTCGCAGTCATGTGCCAGGCTCTCATAACACATCTGCTTTTTTCATGTTGGAAGTAACTACACGACAACTTCCATAGAACATAAATGAGCTGTTCTGTGTTTGTTTTTTGTCTCCCTAGCGATATCCCAGCCTCTGGAGAAGCAGTGAGCAAAAGCAATCGCTCCAGAGTGAGCACGCGCTTCCCCAAACTGTCGCGCAGCCACGCCCGGGAGCCGCGGAGCCTGGAGCCCCAGAGCGGGGACCTGTGACCCTGCTGCCCTTGGCACCGTGGGCAGCACTTCTGGCAGTGCTTCTGTCATCCCTTCCCAGCCTGTATTTATAATTTAAGCTCCTGAAGAGACTACAGCTGCATCAACTTAAATCCTGAAAAGAGACATTCATTACCAAGGGTCATATCCTGATTAACTACTTTGGAAGGCAGCAATCACTTTCTCAAAGAATACGAGGGCTCTTCACGAGAGCTCAGCAAACTGCTCGGCGTTTCCTTTGTTTTGTAAAGCTGCACTGCACAAATTCTCCTTTGTTCCTCTGAAGTCCTTCTGTCACAATGAATTCCTTGTTTGTATTATGTTGTCCCTTTTCCGTGTACAGTTTTCTGTTCCAGAGAGATGTGGGCTTCATGTCAAGACAATTTTTTTTCTCCTTAGAAGAACCTTTATGATTATCACTACTTAGTATGTCAGAAGGATGTACTTAAAAGAACCTCACTAATTTATTACCTTTTGTAAATAGAAAGACTGGGTTGTTTTGGTTTTTTTTATTGTCAACCTCTGACACATAAAGGTTTTTAAAAAAACTTCACCATGTAGATGATGAGAAAAACATTACAGGTGGAAAAATAGCTTTTGTACATTTCTAGATAGATAGTCTCAATAGCATTCATCTGAGGGAAGTAATTCTTTAAAATCAGAGAATGTAATTATTTTTAGTGAAATTTCACTCTTGCTGTAAGGCAGGTGCAATATTATTCATTTCTACAAACCACCACAAGGATACACAAAAGTAATGTGGTACAAAACAGTGCTTTTAAGTCTTGGATTATATTTTGTTATTAATTTGTGGTTTATGTTACAGAACAGTCCATCATTAACAGGGCAGGGTGGAATTCTCAGTCGGATTTCGTAATACCCTTCACATGGTGATACTTAAAAATTGCCTGTAATGAAAGTGCCTGTTACCCATCACCTCTTTCTGAAAAGTAATTTGTAATGCTACTACTGTAAGAGTAACTAAAAAATTGACAAGGATTGTTACAAGTGATGCAAGTCCTGAAATGGATTAACTGGAATCCAGTTCAGCATCCATTAGCTGCACTGCCATAGGCAGTTAATTATGTTTTAGCTATCTTCTTCTCTTCATTAAGTTTAAGCAGTGTATGTTCAAATTTTCTATTAATTGTGTTCTAGTTTTCCTTTATGTAAGAACATCATTCCTCTCAGAAGTTTTTTTGGATAACGTTACTTAAATTGATGTATCTTGTCATTTTACTATCCATTCATTATATTAAATTTTCACATCTTATATTATTCTCCAGGAAAAAAACAAGCTGATGATTAATAACAGATTTTGTACCTCGGTGCTTTATAAAGTTCCAGCAAACTGGAATTTGTGTTCTGCAGTGCTGTGAGCAGTGAGTGCTGTTTGGGCAGGTCAGTGCTCGGTTGTTTCCAGTGGCTCCTCTCAGGTGAGAAAGGCTTTGTCACCCACAGGGAGCGGCCTGAGCAGGGTTCCCAGCACTGGAATGTGGAACTGCCAGACTGCACTCAACAGCAAAATGTGGCAGGAGTGGGATTCACTCTCCAGGTCAGAAATTTCAGTAGGTGAAATACCACTAAGTAAAACCACATCACAGAAATGAACCAGTATTTCCCAGTCAGTAAGGGATGTCAGGTACCACACAGACACAGAGAAAAGCCCCAAGGCCAGCCTGGGAGCTCCCTGCTGTGTGTTCATTAACAAATTAATTACCGTTGGTGTTTTGTGTTAGTTACAGTGGGACACTCAAGAAGAAAGCAAAGTGAGTAGATTGGCAGTTAAGTATCTTCTCCAAACTCTTCAGCCTGATGCGCTGCTGATGATTTAACTTGTCTTTGTTGGAAAGAGAAGTAGCTGTAATGATGGTCCCACTTTGATACAATTTTAACTCATTTTTCAGAAAGTGGAGACTTGGTTAGTAGAAATATGGCACATATACTAACACTGAATTGCAAGTAAATTTGAAAGAAAACACTGTGTGGAAACCTTTGTGGTGTATCTGTTACATGAAGCTGTATTCATTTTCAAGAAATAATTCACAGATTCAAGTACTTATTCAGCAAACTGCAAATGGTAAGGAATTTCATTTATTGCAGACTGAATTTCTTTTTAGTTGTTTAAAAGGACTTTTTTGTATCTGCATTTGGCTCTTAAAATTATTTCATTCCTGATTATCTTTCTTCTTGTAATTTTTAAAGTATGTATGTAGATCACATAAAGATACTAAACTTGTTTACCATGTACAAATTGCTCTTTGTTAACTTTAGCTGAATTGTGTATCAGCTGCTAAGATGACAGCCTGCAAACAATGTTTTCTTGGTGATACAAGATACCATCATGGGTGCATTCGTAATTCTTTCAAAAGCTCTGCTAAAATCCCAGCAAATAATCAAATGAAAGCCTTTCTTCACAAGGTGGCATTCCCACTTTATACCCCTGGTTCTGTAGAAGACTGCAGAGGTACCTGCATGAGTGTCAGTAAGTGCCTACTGACAGGAATGCCCAAATTTTTACCACCTCAAGGCATTCTGAAAGGCTCTGTCTGAGAGTCCTGTATATCTGTTACAAATCCCACTTCTGTTCCTTCACCAGAACCAGCAAAGCCTCTTGAGGAAAGTTGACCAGTTGGTATTAGGAACCCCAAGTAAGTGCATTATTCATCTGAAATGGCTGTAACAATGATTCTGCCAGTGGAGTGATTTTATCAGCTTATCCTGTTCACCCAATTCCATCCAGTTACAATTTTTGTACAGCTCTAAACTTCCTTTGGCTGACTCACAGCTCTTCAGCCCCTGTCTGTGCTCAGTGGGCAGCTCACAATGAGCTGCTGGGTTCATTACTAATGAATTATTAATTAATTCATTACTGACCCTTCCTGCTGGCACCAGTGGCCAGTGCTGTAATCCCAGGATGAGGATTGGGACAGGCTGGGCCCTGGAGCTGTTCCTGGCTGGTAGAGCCAGCCTAGAGCAATTTGTGGTCTTGTTAGCATTTCATTCCTGCTTTGTCTTTGGATCAGGGCTTTTCCTCTGCATCCTTTAGTGACTGTTCAAAATAAACTGTAAAAAAGTGGCACAATTTCTGCTGTAGTGCTGCTGTCCAGTCACCTCCACCATGAACCCTTCCCTAAGAAACACAGAGCAGGCAGAGCTCTTCCAGCTTTTGCAGATGTCTCCATCAGTATTCACAGACTGACTGTGGTTTTTCAGAATCTCATTTATTTAGAGATTCTCTCATTCATTATAGAGAATGCAATGTGTCGACTTGGCTTTTGCAAATTAAATCAAAGTTTTCAATAATAATAATAATAGTAATAAATCTGCAAGGTTCATATGAGGCAGGATATTGACGTAGCTATAAAGGCTTAAATTGATATGTCCATTAAGTCACATATTCTTAGGAAGATAATAATTTCAAAGCCAATCTTTTAAATGGAATATATTGTTGATGTGATAGTTGTAATCAAATTATGCTACCTTACAGAATCTACTGCAAGTCATAAACCATTGTGATTGAATTAATACAAGCATTTAGAGAAAGAACAGAATGGTATTAAAGATTACTGGCTCAAAATTGTGACCTATTGCTAAGGTGGGGTGTTTCTTTGTAGCAGTCATGTTTTATTGTACAGGATAATATCTACATGGTAGCTGTCAAATTAATTAATACAAACCCTCTAACAATGGGGTTGACTGACTCAGAGCAGCAAGCTAATAATAAATGAGACTTGGTGAATCCCCAGTGAACTAATGATGCTTCTGCCAGGACATATTAATGATTAGGAACCTGGTATTTTATTACCAGAATCAGTAATTGGTGCTTTCTGATATTGATGTCATTATTTTTCCTTCAAAGAATGCAGGGATCTCAGATCTGCTAGAAGTTTTGTGCCATTGCAAAGGTTCAAACCTCCCACCCCAAGAGGTTTTCCATCCAATGTCCTAGAACTGTGGGAACAGATAATATATACCTGTGGATAGAAACACAGTTACCTGCTTGAAATTACAGTGAGAAACCTGTGGAACATCTGTTTAAAAGGAAAAAATCCCACTTTTTGACCAAATCCTGCTACTATACACCCTTGCAAATCCTGGAAGCAGCCTTAGGCTCCTCCAGCTGGAACTCTAGGGTATATGAAAATAAACCTGTTCCACACACAAACACATTTTTCTCCTTGGAAACAACAGTAATGCTTCTGAATTGGATCTTGAGTCACTTCTGGAAAAGTGATGAAACAATTCAAGAAAGTAAAGGATTTCCCTCCTTCATTTTCTATAGGTTAGGGTATTTCAGTCAGCACCCTGCATCACATGGAATATTAACTTGATTATTATTTTGGAAGTTTGGAAGTTTCACAGCATTCTGTATTCAAAGAAACACTTTACTATAGGAAAATATCTATATGAAATACAAAATTAAACTATTGATTAACCTGCTTGTGTTTCACATTTTGAATGGAAGGTAAACCACTTGTTCTACAGTGGTGTGACACTGTACATTTCAATTTATTTCTCACTCTACACTAACTGTATTTTTATGATCCAGTTATAGAGAACTTAGATTATTTATGAATTCCTTCTACAAAAATTATGAGGGCATAGTTCTAATCAATATTGATGGCTTAGTTTTTCATTCATAGTGGCATGAATTTATTCTAGACAATAGCACTGAAATGTTTAGAAAGGAGTGACTTTTCCAAATTTACAAATTGCTGCAAATAACCAGACTTAAAAAAAAACAAACCTGTTTTTTATCACATCAAAACAGAATTTATTGCACTTCCCTGTAGAGGAATGAGTTCCTTTAACAAGATTTCAGAAACCATCTCCATGCTATGACAGTAGTTAAACTGTGGGAAGTGGGTTTTTTGAGTGTTAATCATTTAAGACACTAAACATTATAAAAATGTAAGTGTGGTTGAAAATACAGTTCTGAAAGGCTGTGCTTTACCTTCTTAGTTAGCACTGAGATGAAGAACTCAGTGTCTTGGAGTTGGGACCAAACCTGTTGGCAACTGAAGAAGCTGAATTTCCTTCTTGACCTAGGGGAGTTATTTTTTTTTTTGTTGTTACTATTAAACTGTAGAAAAGGTATTATTAATTAAGCATATATATGTACAATATTCACATAAGTATTAATAAACTGTAATATTATTTTAACTTGCTATGCTAATGTTTATATATAGAATTTTTAAGCAAATGTGTATATATATATAAAATTTTCTAAATACTTTCTTGTTTTTTTTAATATCCTGTGGTAATTTTATTGTAACCAGGTAAAAATATGCTACTTTACCAAGAAGAAAATAAAAAATAACATCTTTTCCTTGAAGCAGAGTGTTTGTTTCTACATCCTATTTGTCCTATTCAGTTGTTTTGTAATTTCATCTTTGATTTATGTTCATTTTTTCAGTGTATTTCTAGAATGATGTATGCTCATAACAGACTTTGTTCAAATCTTATTTCTTCACATGAGAAGGAATATTTATTGAAAATCATCTCAAACACTTCAGTTTATGATCACATTGGATAAATCACTCAAACAGGAAGGCAAACAATGCCAGGCAATGCCACCACATTTGTGAGGTTTGGCATTTTTACATTCAGAGTCCACATCTGAATGTTTGATTTCCTTTTATTGCACCATGATACAGCTGGCAATTCACATCCAGTTCATCACTGTGTCGTAACTGGCACTTTCATATCCACTTCATAACTGGATGCTTCCATATCAGGTGAAAAAAGAAGATTAAATGCATATAATGCTTCCTTTAGAAAGGAAGCATTAAGTGTATTTAATCAATTTCCAGCAGACAAAGCTGTAGGTTAACAAAAATAAAGTGTTGCTAGATTCCTCATACTCACAGAATAACCTGCTGCTTAATTAAATTACAATTCTTCAAGCCACTGCCATTCTGGAGTGATCTAATTAGCTGAACTCTTCATGTTAAAAAAAGACAGACATTATTGTAAAATTCACAGTGATGTTTATCTCCATCTTTTAAAACCTGTAGCAGGTTAGATGTCACTATGGAAGTTAGATGACAGAACTTTTAATTAGTCTTGGCAGTCCTTAGGATTTTGTTTTTGCTTTTCATATCTGTTACTTAAGAGCATAAAGCAAAATTATGCTGTCAACTTTATATAATAGTTTCAGGCAAGGGTTTTTTTGTTTTATTTTTTTCCTTTTTTGTCTGCTTGAGGTAGTGGAGCACAAACAGCCCCAGGCTGCTGATGGGACTGTGTGGACTGGAGGTGCCCAGGGTGGAGTTTCAGCCCTGCAGAAGTTTC